TGTGGGCATTCCTTCGGTGTGTTTTCTATCGAAAGCATCCTCAGATCTCAGTTGGTTATGGCATAGATGTCTTTCTCATCTCATCTTCAAAAATTTAAATAAACTTATTCTCAATGATCTTGTTCGTGGTTTACCTGTTTTGAAATTTGACAATGATTTGTTTCGTGCTGCATGTGAAAAGGGAAAATAACATCGTCAAGGTCATCCGATCAAAATTGATTCAAAAACCATTGAACCTTGGCAACTTCTTCACATTGACTTGTGTTGACCTTAAATTCTTGAGTCTCTCAATAAGAAGAAGTACATACTAGTTATTGTTGATGATTTTTCAAGGTTTACTTGGGTTTTCTGTAACGTCTTGAAAAAGGTAATAAAAATTTTCATTTATAAATCCATCCAATAATTCATTAATTGTTCAAAACCAACATCAAGTCATAATATTCAAAACATCATAGTACAATTATTTCAAATGCGGAAATCATGAGGGGAGTATGTTGTGTCGTCACGTCGGACCCTTCCCTTTCGAATCGGAAGTACCTGAAACAATAAACATAAACTATAAGAATAGAGCTTAGTAAATTCTTCAAAATACGATATACCCAAAACATACAAGTGTCATGGGCTACCCCCATGGTCTTTCCTTGCAATGCCAAGGGCCAAATCCCAGTCTTACATACATGTGCGATGGGCTACCACCATGGTCTTTCCTTGCAATGTCGAGGGTCAAATCATGGTCTTACATACAAGTATCAGGGGCCAGATCCTGGTCTTTCATACAATTGCTAGGGGCCAGATCCTAGTCTTTCATACAATTGTCAAAGGCCAGATCCTGGTCTTTCATGCAAGCATCACAGAGACAACTAGTGTTCCACATAACAAGTAATAGGTCGGCATTGGTGCCTTCGACCCATAGATATAGTTAGAAAACTCACCTCAAAGATAAATAAGAAAACCGAATAGCACACCGCTCCGAGATCAACTCTACCAGTCACCTTAATAAATTCATTGACAGAATCTTAGCATATAGGTCAAAATACCTAAAATACCCCTAGGTCAAACCCTAGTAAAATCCAAGTCAAAGTCAACTGAGTCAACCAAGTTGACTCGGTGAGTATGTGGGACGTACTCCTTATGTACGCGGGGTGTACTGTGCGATTGACCTAGTATCGGGGAGCTGACCACATATGCGTAGCATACCCATTGGTACGCCCAACGTACGCGGTTTGCTCAACACCTTACCCATTAAGTGCTTAATCCTTAAGCTTTTATGTCCAAAATCTAGATTTAGGCTCAAAAGGATGTCCATAACCATAAAGTTTCCAGCTTTATGATTTAGCATGGCTATTAAGACTTGAGCTCTAAAAACCCTAACTTCATTATCCATTAAGACACTATATCTCATGCATGGAGAGAAACTAATGACCAAAAACAAATTTTTATGACTTAGCACACCCAAAACCTCTAAAATTACAACTCAAACTTCCTGGAGTACCCCCTACTTACAATGATCAATTTTGGGACGAAAAGGTGACAACTTTGAGCTAAAACTAGATCCATAAGAAACATACACCAAGGTTGAAGCTTTTTACCTACACTAGATGCACAATGAAGAGAAAATGCTAGATCCAAAGTTTTGAGAGAAAAGCCACCTCCTTGATGATCTTCCTTCATAACCAAGAAAGCCCACTATTCACTCCAAAAGCTCAAAATGCTCAAAATAGATTATGGTTTACAAGGAGGGTTGATTTTTTGGATGGAGGTTGTTAAGAGGAAGGGTTTTGGGACTATAATGGTGCTTATATAGTGCACAAACCCTATATTTTTAGGGTTTGGTCTAAGTTGCCTATGCCCTGCGTACCAATGTGTATGCCCAACGTACGTGCACGGGGCCAAGTACGGCCAGCGTACCAAGGCGTACGCCCAACATACTCATGCTACACCCCCAATTACAAAATCGTCATTGAGGACAAATCTTGCAAACAAACCTTAACTCAAGGGTCAAAATGAATACCTTGAAATTAGATGTTACAACTCTCTCCCGCTGTAACTAGTCTTCATCCTCAAAGTCAGCTGGCTCGAATAAATTTGGGTAGTGTTGTCGCATCTCCGCCTCAGGCTCCTATGTCCATTCAGAACCCTTCCAATGTTGCCACTAAACCTTGACCAGTGATACTTCTTTGTTACACAGAGCCTTCGTCTTCTGATATAAGATCGTCACCGGTCTCTCCACATAGTTCATGAGATCACCAACTTGAATATCATCCAGAGGAATAACTGTGGACTCATCGGCCACACACTTCCGAAGATGAGAGACATGGAAGGTGTTGTGGATACAATATGCAACCTTGCCCACCCAGTCTGAAATCCTGAAAGGTCCAATGAATCTGGGGCCCAGCTTGCCCCGCTTCTGAAATCGGATGACACCTTTCCAAGGTGACACCTTTAGAAGCACCAAGTCTCCTACCTAAAACTCGAGGTCCGAACGTCGCCGATCTGCATAACTCTTTTGCAAACTTTGCACGAATTGAAACATGTCGCGCACCTACTGAATCAACTCAGTAGTCTTGAGTACAACCTCTATTTTAGGGGTTAGTCAGGACACGGGTGACCGTTGACCGTTGGTCGTTGACTTTTTGACCAATTTGGTTTTAGGCTACACTTAGAGGTTTTGATCTATAAACTAAGGTTTGAGATCTGTTTAGTTTAGTCAAATCGTGTAGCTGATTCTACGAGAATTCAAGGTAGTTCGGATTCAACTTTTTGTTTCAGGTGAGTCTTCTCGTTGTATTATTGGATTAGGTGTCTAAGCCCATAACTATAATTAATATGTACTTGATTTGACAGTAGCATGGTCCTTTTGGGTTGCCTTCACTCTTGCAACTTGACAGGATGACTTTTAGAGATAAGTTGAATTTCTTAATGTATTATGAGAATAATATATTAATTAGAAATCATGTTATTTAATTAGTATTTAATCATAAATTAATTTGGAATTAATTTTGGGATTAAATGAACTGATTAAAGGAACTGGGGTTGTTTTGCAAATCATTGATAGTTGTGAAACTGAGCTAAAGGGCTCCATGGAAAGGAGTGGACAAAAAACTTATAGGGAGGCACTATAAGTTTTCGTCCAAGGCTCCTTAATGAGGGTCCATGGGATGCTTAAGCCTTAAGCAGGAAATTTGGGTTTCCTCCAGCAAACCCTAGCAGCCTCAACTATATAAAGATCCCAACGCTTAGAAGTTTCGGCCTATGCATGCTATTCCTAACCCTAGCCTAAATTCTGGTGTATTCCCTACTCTCTCCTCTCATCCATCTTGCAAAGAGTGTTTGTAAGCCATTAGAGGTGTCACATTTGAGGCACTTGCTTTCAAGAGTCAAGATCTACAAGGTTTTCTTGTTATTACTACAGAACAAGTAAGGTAAACATCTAAACCCTATTTATGTATAGATTTCAAATTATATACTAGTTCCTAGGGTTTTGCTTTGGTGTTTAAGTTTGCATGTTCAATTAGTGAAAACCTGGATCCAAAGCAATTAGGGTTGCATGATCATATAGGAATTGTAGTTATGCTCAAAACGCATCATGTATTACATATGATATGGTATGTTAGACTAATAGGGTCTTACTGGTTGCTTGTATGTTTACATTCTTTATTAGGCAAGGCCCGTTAGGTTGGAGTGTTGGACCCGTAGGGTTAGGCCGATTGTGTTAAAATATACTCCTAGGGTTCGACATATTATTTTGTGTTGTATGTAGTATTTTAAGAAACTCACTAAGGTTTGTGATTACGGTTTTAAATATAAAATGATTAGGTTTTCCTATTAGCAAGAGAAAAGTCACGACGGGATTGCATTGCATCTATTGCTATGTTTTAGAGATTTTTTACACTCTTGATTTTATTATGATTATAACTCTTCTTTAATGATGTTTGAAACAAATGGTTATTTACTCTTTTGAAAGTTAAACTGATACGATTTTTTTTTATATTTTAAAAAGAAAAGATTGGGTTGAAATTTGAGACGTTATATAAAAATAATAAACGTAGATATGGATAAATAATTAACAGATTAAGAAAGATCTTGTCGTTTCGTCGAGTAATTGTTTTCGGAGAAAATTTGTAAACACTTGTGAAAAGATTGTGTTAAAATGAAGGGGAAAAAATCAATTTTTATCTTGAAACCGGGCCTTAGGCCGGTGAGATTATTGCAGCTCACATGCAATTTTCGCAATCAACTGCACTTTTTCCTTTCCAAATTAATACGATGTTGTTTTGCTAAAAGAAAATCGTATGCGACTTTGATTTTCTTATTATGTATTTTTCATTTTATTGCATATTTTGTGAAAAGACCTTGGGAACAAATGTTATTATGTTAAAAAAAAAACATTTAGATATATAAATCATTTATCTTTCAAAAGTTACATATTTTGATCATCTTATATTTAACGTCATTTTCTCAAATATAAATTGGTTTTTTATATAGAGACAATGAAAATGTTTCCTTTTGCAAATTTAGTGTTAATATTTCTTTTGAAAGCATGCAACACGTCACCTCGTATCAGTTCCCACCTAATTTGTCACATCGTTTCACTCTACAAAACCAAGGTAAAAACCAGCAAACCTAGAATAACATTTTATATGTTCAATATTGTAAATAATATATATATATATATATATATATATATATATATATATATATATATATATATATATATTCGATGTCTTATGCATCAGCAAAGAAAAACTAAAATCACTGATAATATCATTATGATGGTTTTTTCACTCATTTCAACCAACTTAATATAATAAGGATGTTAATGATTACTCGACAATTAATTGGATGCATGTACGCTTTACCACTTTTAGACAGTTTGTTATATATCAATGAATTCCAATTAATAAATATCCATCCTATGAAAATTCTGGAATGTGTCATCTATATAACTCACGCTCTTCCTTCTGTTGTATTATGTCTCTTTGAACTTTCACTCACTAAGAATGGAGGCGATGTATAGGCTGGTGAAGGAGTACAAGTCCGATAGCGCTACTATCACAAATGTTAAGCCGGAGATGGTGAACTTGCATGTGGCATGTGGAAAATGTGGGAAGGGCATCATCGTGGTTCTAAATCTTAAATATTTCGAAACGACTGGACCTGAATCAGTAAGTATTAGAGGTTTTGTTTTGTTTTTATTCGTTTATTAAGTATGTGGGTTTTTTATATAAGTTTTTTTTTTTGTGTGTTTTATCATTTATGCAGTGTTGTGAACAACGCTTGGATATAAGTGTCAAGCCGCAGTTAGATGAAGAACAAGCTACTGTGGGACTCGTCTCTGTTGTAGGAAACTTTAATATTCAAGTAAAAGAGATAATTGACGACGATGTGGAGTGGTGTGTTGTAAGTCCTTACACTTGTAACTTGTTACAACTTCTGCAATATGTAACTTTGTTTATTCTGATCATGAAATGTTTCTTTTCATTTCTTTATTTTTTTTTTTCTTTATTTGCAGACGTTTAAAGATGGTAGTTTTTTACGTTTTAAATCAAAAGATCAGTGATAAAAAAATGAAACTGGCAGTGATAAAAAAATGAAGAAGGTGGAGCGAACGAAGTTCCTACCAAAGATGGCTAAAGAGAAGAGGATGAAAGAGATGGAGAATGAGATGGTGGGCTGGGACGAGGAGCAGAAGAAGGCGGAGATGATGAAAAGGTTGAAGGAGAAAGTGGAAATGGAGGTGGAAGTGAAGGTGAAAGATTCTGCTCTATCTTCACTAAGCTGGAGTGACCTTATCAACGAAGATGAAAGAATCAATGCGATGCGCATAATTGTGATTCCAATTTCCAAATAGTATTTTGGGTGGTGACCTAACTTGTTGAAGCCTAGCTAGGTAAATAGATGGTCGACTATTAGTAAAACTGTTAAGGTCATCTGGGTGTGTTTATTATGGTTCTTACTGTTGGTATGCTTAATTATTAGGTTATATGATGTCTTATTAATTAAGATTGCTTGTTACCATTTGGAGTTATATGACCTTATATGATTAATCGATGCCATATAATTAATTACAAGTGGCAAGAAATAGTGATGAATGTACTGATACCTGCTAAGACATGAAACTGTGGAAACAAATTGCTATGTTAGCATGAGTAAGGAGTATGCTGATAGCTGAGTGTGTAATGGCAATGGTGATTGGATCACGAAAGTATTATGATTATGAATGAATTTATGATTCCATAATCATTGAGAAATAAGGACTCCGGAATTTTGTAAATACGATTAAATGTAATGAACGACAATAAGTGTGACAATACTAATATTATGAGTTCAATGTGCATGCTCGAGAGTTATCTTGTGAACTGGAAACATGTATTTAATAGCTCATTTATCTTATTCATCCTAATTAGTGAGCTTTGATGTCAATCGAAAAACATAAAATGCAAAGTGTTTATTGACAACCATAGTATTTATGAGACTAAATGGCTTCTAGCCCAATAGTCAGGTGTTGCTCTTCTTCTTTTAAATTGAGGGTTCGATATGTGGAGGGTTACAAAAGCCCCATGTGTGAGAACATTTTAAATTGTTTAAAATGACAAGGAGGAGTAGAAAAACGTAATGCAAACAATGTGACGTGCTACTTATGGCATAATGAACTTCGAAAATGAAACATCACATTGAAAAGTCATTTGTTGCAACAAAAGTCCAACAAACCACCACAAGCCCGTATTTCCATAACATGAGTGACGTCCGTTTTTGGACAAGGGTTTTAGAGAAATTAAATATCTTTTTACATTTTGTTTCTCTCATTATGTATTTAAGATAATAACAAATGTATAAATTTAATATCCAATCAAATTTAAATTAAATTAAATGACACTTTTCACCATTAAAATAGGTAGGAAGAAAATAAATACAAAAAGAAAAATAACAATGTACGACCAGTTAAATAGACATGGTTATGTAGGTTATTTTTTCTTTAACATACCTGGTTAAAGGTTAAGACCGGTTAATGATTTTAAGATTGACGCAATAGGTTATTGTAACATATGTACAATTTTGAAATTAAATTTAACAACTTAGAAGCTAAAAATTTATTAACTTATAAAATAAGTAAAATATCGCTTAAAGTATTCAAAAGGAATGTTCAGATCCAATATATAAAATAGTTTTTTTTTTTAGTTTTTAGTTTTTTGTTTTTTGTTTTTTTTTGTTTTTTGTTTTTTGTTTTTTTTTTTAATATCTAGACTTTATTAGCAAAAGCCTCTAGGAAAGAAAACAAAATTCCACCCAATTTTTCCGATTCAAAGTGTTAAGCCCTTTCACTCTACAACCAATCCAAAGAAAAGATGGGTGTTAGAGTGATTTTGATTTAAGTACACCTTTTTCAAACTCTAACCAACACTTGTTTCTTGTGCCCTTACTAATAATCTTCATGTCAAACAAATCAATGAGTTGTGATGGGTGTTAGAGCCATTTTGATTTAAGTGAAACGTGTTATATGTCATTTAAATTAAAATATAATTGTTTACCCAATAACGGCGATATTTTTTTTTGGAAACGGCGATATATTATTAAGCCACAGCCTAAAAGAGCAATGCAGGACAGAAAACAAAACAAAACAGACACTACATAATGTTAAATGGAGAGACACACCACTCCACCCAAATACAGTTTACAAACCACCCTATATGTTTAACCCAACTAAAGACAAAAGAAATAACATTATCAAACACACCCGCCTTAGAGATACACACCTTGCTGAAAAATCTATTGTTTCACGCTCTCCAAATACACCACATGTAACCATAGAAAATGGCCAAAAGAACTTTACGTTTCTTCGGACATTTACCCAACTTGGAAGCAAAAGCGATAAGCTCCCGGATGGAATCGAAATTCCGTTGAGGAATATTACACCAACACAAAATCTGCTGAAGAACATCACGAGCCCAAGGGCAACCCACAAACAGGTGATCCGCATCTTCAGCCTCCCAAGCACACCATAAGCGATCGCTACTCTGGGCAAAAACACCTCTCTTAGAGAGAGCACAAGCAGTAGGGATTCTACTGATGCAAGCCTGCCAAATGAAACAATTTATTTTTAAAGGCACCAACGAAATCCAGGTCATAACATTATACATCTCAACCATTAGGAAGGAATCTATCAGCGACCTAAGATCATGCACATAAAACTTGCCATCAACAGACAAGGGCGATTTCCAAACATCAGCGGAATCTCTAAGCACAAAAGTCAACACCTCATTTTTCAAGGCTTGAAATTCATCAATTTTCACCTGTTGCCTAGGCTGCCTCTTCCACTCCCAACCGCCTCCTCTATTACTGAGTCGATCACTAATACAACACGATTTCCTTTTATCTAAGCCAAAAATATGAGGGTACCTCGAAGCGAGATTCCCGCCCCCTCTCTAGTTATCGAGCCAAAAACGAATGTCCCTACCGGACCCAACTTGAGGTTTCAAAACAGAACAAAAAGATATACCGATGTTATCAAGCGCGTAGATCGTCTTTGTCATATTGAGCCAAACAGCAGGAATGGATTTTTTGGAGAGATTGGAAATAGGTTTCCTGTACAAGTTGTGGATTCCACAGATAACTTTTTTCCAAAGATCGTCCGGTTCCATTTTAAACCGCCAAATCCATTTAAACAGCAAGGCCAAATTTAGAGAAGACAACGAACCAAGGCCAAGCCCTCCTTTGGCTTTAGGGCCTAAAACAACCTTCCAGGCAACCCAATGAATGCGGTTCTTCTCCCCGATACCACCCCACAAAAATCTCCTTCGGAATCTCTCGAGAAACTAAATGACCGAATTTGGGGCTCTAAAAAGCGAAAAGAAAAACAGTGGTAAACTACCAAGGACCGCTTTCGTGAGGGTAACTCTACCACTGCACGAAAGTGATTTAGACTTCCAAGAGGAGAGTTTACACTGAACTCTCTCAATGGCGGGCATCCAATTCCTATTAAGACCCATGTTTGAGCCAACAGGGGACTCCTAAGTATTTAAAAGGAAAAGAAGCCGCCTCACATCCGAGAACCCGCGCATAGATAGAAATTTCACTCTCTGAAACACCAACTCCATAGACTTTGGACTTATGGAAGTTCACCTTAAGCCCGGAAGCTGCATGAAAACAACGAAGAATACGCGCCAAATTTGAGAAATTAGTGCTCTCCCAGGTTCCAATGAAAATCGCATCATCAGCGTAAAAAGATGTGATATCGAGGGGCCCCTATTTGGAATATTAACACCATGGAACAACGATTTTTGGCAGGCGGATTTCATGGCCACATTTAGGCCCTCCATGGCCAGAAGGAAGAGGAATGGGGAGAGCGGGTCCCCTTGACGGACTCCTTTAGACAACTGAAATTCTTTTGAGGCGGACCGATCAATAAGAACCGGTCAAGGTTGTTCATAAAGCTTTATCAAATTGGATGTTTTAAGATTAAATAAAATAGCAATGTAACGTCCCATTTTCACAACCAAAAATTTTCATTTTTATTAAAATGAAAATTTTCCAATTTATAAATCAATTATTAAGAAAATCTTTTATTCCAAATTACATTTATTCAAAATCAGTGTTTTATAGAAAACACGGAATCCTCAATGTTGTTGATTTGTGTGTACAGTCCCGCCTTCGCCTTCCCGTAGACACCAGTGATACCTGAAACAATAAACAACTGGATAAGCATAAGGCTTAGTGAGTTTCCCCTAAAATACCACTACACAAACAGATAGCATATACCATCAAACATGTCGGTCCAATCAACAATCGGGTTGGAATACCCCAAGCCTAGTTAACCTCCGGGTCTAATCATCCTCGAGATGGAATACCCCAGGTTGGAATGCCAATATACAACAGGTCAAAACAGCCATCGGGCTGGAATACCCAAGGTTTGTTGGCCTACTTCCTCAACCTTGCCGCTCTTCCCGAGCCTTCGTACCTACGGCTTACCGCCGGCCCGCACCGGATATCTTGGCATACAGCACAAAGCAGGACCGCCTCAACCCAAACCAAACACAACATGTCGACATATAAACAATCAGGATTAAGTAAGCACATAATACAAGAAAACAACAATCATACAGCTCATTATCGCCTACTAGTCCTCTCAAAGTATACAGTCCTGCTACCAGCTAACCTCCATAGAATGCGTAACCATAAGTAACTAGAGGTGAGATAGCTACCCGAACAGATGATCCTACTCTAAAGCCACAACCAAACAACGAACAAGCAAGAGAGCCTAGACCAAGAGTTCTCAGACGATCCTACATAACCACAAACAGTCCCTAAGGGCACTCCATAGATGATAACCAGCAAGCACAAATAGCATACAGTTCTACAGTTCACTACAGCATACTCAATACCAGAACAAAGATCTAACAGATCACAACAGCATAACAGCATATTCAATATCATCAATCCAAGGAATGCATGGTTGTATATACTCAGATGTGAGATAGTCACCTAGAAAGGTGATCCTACTCTAGAACCACAACCAAACAAGGAACAGGTAAGAAAGCTTAGATCAAGAGTCCTCAGTCTATCCTACATGACTATATATAGTCCCTAAGGTATCCCTTTACTAACAGATAACCAAAACTAGTGGGCTTGCATTGGTACCTTCAACCCATGGTACAGTGAGGCGAAACTCACCTCGATATGCGTGTAGGTAACCACTGTAGCCACGAAGAACTCTACCAGCTTCAACTCACTTCCAATCACCTAAAGGAAGATACTCGAGTCAATACCCGATCACAGGTCATAGTCACTTGCAACAGTGACTACCTCACATGAAATGACGATTAGGGTTTCACATAAAATGACGATTAGGGTTAA